GTATCCGGACCTCATCCACAGTACACTCACCTGGAGAAAGTTCTTACAGCCTCTGCTACAACAACTCCAGAGCTGGGATATACCCTGTCATTGGGGTACGCCAATGCTTCTCCAAACACACACAAAAGATCGACTCACAGAGCATGAAGTTATGCAGAATTGGAAGTCCAGGTAAACAAGCTTGGCCTTGTCAACTCCACAGGGGCCACAGGAACCGGCTTGGCTCATATTGATCCCTCTAGGATCGCTGAGTTTACACCAAAATCTCAACGACCTGTGCTTGTGAGCGAGCCTACGTGAAGGACCAACTAGGGGAACCTGGCCGGGGATAAGGAGTCCATAAGACTTATACTTCCACCACTACGACTTGCTTATATTTCTCAAGATGTTTACCGTGAAGGTTTTCCATGTTCCTTTAGTTTCAGTTTCAGTTTTTATTAGTACAATTTTCACTATATTTCTGCATGTCTGGAGGTAATAGATGTATCTATAGGAGAACGTACTACCCATTCAATGTTTGTTATTGATACATACGACTACCTGCCATACGACACATTACAGAATGCTATTTATAGTCTTTATCTACACCCCTCCTCCCCGTCTCCCGATTTCCTTAGGGAAACTTCTGCCTTTCCACTTTAAGTATCTGGGAGGGTGGTATGCCCAGATTGTGCAGTATCTCTAACTTTAGAGCTCTACTCCCAGTTTCTATGGAAGCGCCATCTGGGTACACAACTAGGATGTAGCATTTAAGGTTTCTTTTTTACTGCTTTTCTTTATTATACAAACTCATTTGTTATCTTACCTTTCTTTTATGGCATACTATCTTGATAACTTGAACGTACATGGCTATTCTAAATGTATCTTCTGTGCTACTAACATATGCTGAATGACAAAATAAAGAAAATACTTGTCTAATGTATTTCCTATTTACCAAATTGTTGGTTTGAAGAGACCATTTAGTTTGAATATATATATATTTTCCCAATCTGTGCACTCCAATACCTCAAACTAAATGGTCTCTTCAAACCAACAATTTGGTTAATAGGAAATACATTACTTAGACAAGTATATATAATACTAGTATATATAGAAGTATTCCCTAAATAGAAAGTCCAAATAGGGAGTACAGGAAAAAGTGGGTTATAGGGGTGACAAAAAGGGCATAACCCTGCATAGAGCACAAAATATACAAAGAAGTGAAGAAAAAGACAGCCCTGTAACAAACTGGGCTGCTCTCCTTCAAGTCACCCCAAGGACAACGTCTAAGAAAAATAATAAATAGATTTTATTAAGAATAATGAATTAAAATGGCAATTGGATATCTAATTTAGGTTTTTGTCTGATGTATCTCTGACTTTTTATCCACCCCTAGTGCACTTACATTGACAGTGTGCTGTAGCTACTTTGGGGTTGATTGCCTAAACATGTTGGGGCGAATATATAGTATGGAAGAACTGTGAGACTGATTTTTTCAGCCTTTTTTCACTCTATAATAACTTTCTTTTCCGTTTTCATGGTCTCCCCCAATATACTGTTCTCCGATGTATGTTTATCATATCTGCACTCTCTGATTTTCTGCAAGGCTTAGTATGTATCTAAAGTATCACTTGTAGCACCAACTATGTTTTAGTGTATATTGCTACATATAATTGTGATTGATACATGTTATTTCTACTGTAACTTTGCATCATAATTGACAGGATTTTTGTCATATATATGAGTTCCTAGGTAATTTGATTTTAATTCATTATTCTTAATAAAATCTATTTATTATTTTTCTTAGACGTTGTCCTTGGGGTGACTTGAAGGAGAGCAGCCCAGTTTGTTACAGGGCTGTCTTTTTCTTCACTTCTTTGTATATATAATACTAGCCTCTACACTTTACTTATTTCTATATTAACAATGTTATAAAATGTTGTCAAGTATATCACTTGGACAATGGTCATGACATAAAAAACATTTATGTATAGATGTGAAGGCCAAGCTTTTACTAGTTATTGCAAACCTTTGTCAAATTTTTGAACAACTGGTTATACTGAACTCTTGATAATTCCAATACCCCCTTTAGGGTATTTCTAAATATGAAAATCTTAGTAAAATTACTGGTTGAAGCAAAGTAAGGAGAAATAAAGCACAGAAACTACTTCAGTCTAAAAAGTAGTAAAAAATAAATTAAAAAAATAACAAGTTTGAAAGTGAATTTGTGATTAACAAATTGGGCCTGTACTGACTTCTTGCCTTAACAAAAGTAGATGAAAGATAACTATGGTAAAAGTGTTATTAGAGAGGTTTAAAAAAAACTATATCTTGTGGAATCTTTGGTACTCTATGCAAAACATCACCCAACAAACCACAATGTCCTGACCAAAATGGGCTAAACATTGCAGGGAAGAAATAACTATGTGTACAACATTTACCCAAGAGACTAAAAACTGCTATGTTTATAAAAAAAAAAAAAAGGTTAACCCTAGCTGGACCAGGCACCCAGACCACTTCATTAAGCTGAAGTGGTCTGGGTGCCTATAGTGGTCCTTTAATTTCTTCTTGTCGTCAGTTGATTGATATATACGTCTTTTGTATATATAGTCTTGGGCCAAATTTGCTTGCGACATTAATATATGTCTATATTAATGAAAAGTACTAATACGCAATCTGACTTATGGTTTCTTCAGGTTTATTCTTAGTTACTGATACATAATAAAACAACAAAGGATGTTACAGAATAATGGATTTCAACAGCAGATGGTAATTGCTGGACTCCTGACGGGAGAGTTACATCTTGTACAGGAAAGAGAGCCAAGAGAGCGAGAGAGCCAAGAGACCTCGTGTCTCTTTGTTCAGTTACTATATAGAAGTGCCCATACTGACGTCAGACTATAACTCTAGCCATATAAGGACAAAACCCCCAAATCCACATTCCAGAGCTCTCAGACAAAGAAAGCCTTGTGACTTATACCATCTGTTACTTATGTCAATCCACACATCCATATATAATCAATAGAAACCTAGAAAATGCAATATTCTACATTCCCTCTGTTTATGGTTTGTTTTAAAACCATAACACAATGTCACTAGCCTGTCCATTCATACATCACTTGTATCACAGTCATGGAACATAGAACAAGATGTAGTCACAACTTTCTATTATATGAGAGTTCTTAGAAGGTGGAGTTTCTATTCCTTATACTGCTTACTTTACTTCAAACTCCCTCTGTTTCAGCTATGTATTGATATCCATATCCATGTTACATCATAACTACTTGAACATAATATAAACATATAACAATAATAAATGAATAAAATATTTACAAATGTTGATCCAATAAACAATGTAAAGCAATCAGAAAGACCTACCTGCTCTAGTACAGTCATGTCTTTGTAGACAACAGAATCAAGATCGTAACTTTCTAAATAATAACTGTGTATCACTATCATATTCCTACAGACAGATATAGCATAGTATTTTCATTCTCAATACCTGATATTACTTAAGTACTAATACACATATTACTATAATATACGTCCACTTATACTTCCATGAATCATCTGTTTTCTACCGTGTTTCTCCGAAAATAAGACCGGGTCTTATATTAATTTTAGTCACAAAAAACACACTAGGGCTTATTTTCAGGGTAGGGCTTAGAGCCAGTCTGTCAGCCGGTGTCCACGCTGTGTAACCCCCCCAGAGACCCTCACCTCCCTCCCTGTAATACTCTCCCCCTCCCTGTAATATTCTCCTCCCTCCCTCCCTGTAATATTCTCCCCCCCCTCTCTCCCTGTAATACTCCCTTCCCCCTTCCCCCCTCCAATCTTCTCCTCACCTGCTCTTCCCTGTAGCGTGGCCGAGCTCCAGGGAAGGGGAGGTGAGGCAGTGCGGCAGCCATCTGAGCGCTCTCTATAGAGCGCTCAGTCGGCTGTGGCATTTAAAGGCCGGCAGACGCCGGCCCTGCCTAGGTCTTATTTTCGGGGTAGGGCTTATATTGCAGCCCACCCCGATAATCCAGCTAGGGCTTATTTTCGGGGTAGGGTGTATTTTTGGGAAAACAGGGTAGTAACTTAAAATCTTTAGGTCATTTGTATTCATGAATTACATTCTTATACCATTAATACCACCTAGTGATGATTGTATCAGTACTTTACAATCATAGTATTTAATTTGTATATTCAGTAGGCTCTCACTACCTAAAATATACCAACACTACTTATAAGACTCATTCAAAGGATGTGTTATCAACCATGAAGTTCTACAATAATTCTTCAAATAATGTTCATGGTGTTGACAGTACTTATTATTCTAGAAATTCTCCACCCAGAAATCTTTCTATCATTTGTTTTTGTTTACATAATTGTAATTTTCACTAAAATTCCACCTTGTAGTAACAAACCTTTCATTCAACAGAAATATAGTTTACTTTAAATAACTTGAAAAAAATAATTTAAATTCACTCTCCTCATTAGACCTTAATTGTGACTTATTAATGTAATACATCCAGGGCCGGTGCAAGGATTTTTGCCGCCCTAGGCAAAAGAAAGATTTGCCGCCCCCCCCCCCCCGGAACATCGCAATGCCCCACCCATATGAACTAATGCCAGTGCTGCACACAGTGTGTGTTTACATTAAAAAGCCTGCAGGGACAAACTATAGACACCAGAACAACTTTATTAAGCTGCAGTGGTTCTGGGGACTATAGTGTCCATTTAATGTGAGGTAAATTAGAGATTAGTGTCACTAATAATATACTAGATTGTCTACTTACAATCAGATGAGAATGGTGATGGGCTCTGGCTGCAGTCTGGCTCCACTGGTCTGGTGTAGAACAGGATCTCTGGAGGCTGTTTGCAACTGTGGTCACAAAATTCAATGTTCTGGGAGAACGGGAAGCAGCTCAATTTTTGGGGGCCTCTTACATAGATTAAGGTCTGGGCCCCAGGGCCTGACTGTGAGTATGCCCATAAAGCCCACCCATAAGGCCACCTACATGTTCCACCCATGAGTTCGCTCACAGGGAGTAGAGTGTGTAGGGGATGTGTTATGTGTTACTGTAGAGGATCTAATGTGGTTGCCTACGGAATGTAGTGTATAGGGATACCAGTTTGTGTAGGTGATGCAGTGTTGTTTGTGTAAGGGATAGAAAGCAGTGAGTGTTTGTGTATAAGGGATGTATTGTGTGTTTCTTGTTGTGTGTAAGGGATGCATTGTGTGAATCTGTGTTTGTATGCATAGTGTGTATGTAAGGGATGCAGTGTGTGTGTCTGTAAGGGGTGTGTTGAGTGTGTGTAAGAGATGCATTGTGTTTCTGTGTGTGTGTGTGTGTAAGAGAAACAGTGTGTGTTGCATGTGTGTGTAAGGGATGCATTGTGTGTGTTCTGTGTATATGTGCAAAGGATGCATTGTCTTTATGTGTAAGGGTTGCATTGTGTGTTTCTCTGTGTGTAAGGGAAGCATGTTGTGTTTCTGTGTGTGTATAGGGATGCATTGTGTGTGTGTGTGTGTGTGTGTGTGCGCGCGTGGTGTGAAAGAGCTCCCTGTCCCCCTGTCCTATAGAGCTCTCCCTTCCATTCCTTAGATATCTCCCCTGCCCCTTAGTGGTCTCTCCTCTCCCCCGCACCTCCCTTAATGGTCTCCATTTCTCCCCGACTTTCCATTAGTGGTCTCTCCTCTCCCCCCACCCTCCCCTAGTGGTCTATCCTCCACCCCCCTCCCTTAGCGGTCTCTCCACTGCCCTCTCCCTCCTTTAGTGGTCTCTCCCTCCCCTACTTTCTCATCTCCCACCCCTCGTGTTCTCCTCTTCTTCTCCCCCCGTGTTTTCCTCTTATTCCCCCCCTCCCTGTGTTCTCCGCTTCTTCTCCCCCCTGTAATCTTGTCTTCTTCTCCC